TCTCTCTCTCTCTCTCTCTACGATATTCTCTCTAAGATTCTTTTGAATAAATTTTAATGAAATTTATTGTAAATGTTTGGCCAGAAATATGCGACACAAAAGAGTGCAATGAATTCAATTTTCATGGCTTTTGATTGAAGATTGAGTCGTGTTGCGGCAAAGAGTGGGATGTACTCCAAGACATGCAATTTGTTGCAATATATTGCGCCTATTGTTTGCTAATACAGTCGAGAAGATGTTTTCGCAATAATCTTAGCATTGGATGAATGGATGGACTAATGAGATGAAGGACTGAACAGACAATTAAGTGATTTATGTTCTCAAAAACTTATGCCAATTGTTTGTGATTTACTTTTGGTGTTATAAGTGTGAAAAAGTGCCACATTTTGCCACATTTGCCACTTTGACTGCACCGGCATAACGAAGGGGCGGGAGAGCACTGGCCCTTAGGCTTAACCGATGCCCTACTCTATCACATCCAATATGTAAACCAAACATTTAGTTTTCGGTCAATAAACAATATTTTGCAAATATAACTTTAAAATGGATCTTAATTTAAGGATATTTAATCAAAAATTTAAATTATATTAAATACTCTTTAGAAATAACTTAATTTTAAATAATTTAAATAATTTTAAAACTAAATATTAATAAACGAAAGCTTATGAACCGAATACAGAATGTGAACGAGCGGTCAGTTTGGAGTGAAGTCTCGTTAACCTTCACTGAAGTATTTCACTGAATGTAAAGTAAAGTCCCTTTTATTCATTGACTTTTTGTATAGAATTTCATCAATAGTTTGGATTTTGTTATTATATTTTGCTAAACAGTTTTGTTATAGACATATAGTTTTGCCGTAAAGTTTAAGTCACTTTAAAGAGGTATTCAATCATAAAGTCATTTCAATACTAAACAGATCTCGAGTTCCACTTATTATCAATGAATGGATGAAATGAAAACCGAAAATGAAAAACATATCCAAAATTACACTTTTCTATGATTGAAAATATTTGGAAAATTTTCTGCTATTAAATACATTTCACACATAAAAATCATTTATATAATGATAAATACTCTTTGAAATGAATGAATGAATTATTTACGACTCGAGTGTTTGGACACACAATATAGTGAATGGCTTTTGGAGTCAGTCTTATGATTATATTATAAATACGGCATTTGTTGGTCGTATTGACTGGTGTTTGTGATAACAAATTATGGCTAACAATGGGATGAGTAGTGCTGTGCTATTCATCCCATTTTGCAATACAATGGATAAGTGTCTGAAAAGGTGTCACCAAATTGGCGACACATCCAAACAGATAGTGTGTGGAAACACAACATTTCATTTACGGCCAACACTTTGCATATGATTTGCATTCAATGTGTTGTACAATAAAATCCAATAAAATTCAAGTATTGAAACCCCAAAATCGTGGGACACAAAAGTCTGGGCCCCAAAAAATAGGGGACAGACAGCGGGAGAGATATATATCGACAATAAATGATTTAAAAGCAAAGCTCACGATTGGAGTACTCTTTAGTACTCTTTCTATTAAATGATGATTCGATTGGAAAATATTTCAATGAATACAATGCAAGCAATGCTTACACACATTGCATATAAAGTGTATCACTTTTTTCTCTCTCCTATACTGTTATCGCGATTGTATTGTTTGTATGAATGGTTTGGGAGGAGAAGCGCTTAATTGTATCATTGAGTCCATTACTTGTCTCCCAAAAGTATTTACCTATAAAACACACCTTAAGTGCCACTTTATAAAAGGTTTGCACACTTTTCATATCTCTAAGACCCTCTCGAGTGTCGACTTTTAACGTCTTCTGTTTGTGGTGTCTCTTATCGTCTCATCTTTTCATTCGTGGCCAACAAAGTGGCGGAAAAGTCGCTGTTTTGTGGATTTTTCTTCACAATAAAAAATAACACATCGAAAAAAGTGGACAATAAGACAGGAAAACACACAATGTTTGCCAAAACTATTAATTAAATCCATAATAGATTTCATTGATTGGTTCCGCCACTCACGAAGAGTGGTGTGTGTTGTATGCGATGCGAGAAATCGAAAGTCAGTCCTATTGTCATGAATGGTATAACAGATGCTGTGTTTGTGGACCAGTAGTAGTAGTGATGGCCATCACATCACCACTAAATTGCATGAGTAATGACCCGAAACGACAGCTTACTATCCGATAGTATATAAGACTATCAGTGGAAGTGATTTGCGATGAATGCGACCAAAGATAGGCAAACCGTCATAAATAGTATTGGTTTTGATTTATACGATACCATACTATCAGTTCAAATGCTATCTCAATCGCGGGTTTGTCTGATTTGATGATAATTTTTGTGATCGATATGTGTTTGAGGTTTTTGGAGGAAAAACAGAGGGGAGAGAGAGAAAGATAAGAGTGAAACCGTTATTACCTTTTGCTTACACTTATTTAACAATAGTTTCAATTTACTATTTATTAACTGTACGGCACAGAAGTGTTTGATTTTATGAAACATTATTTATTCTCTAATAAAAATTGAAAATTTAAATGAAAAATATTAAAACATTGCTGTTTAGGAATTGTCTTATTATTATTTATTATAAATTACTATTACACTTTAGATGAATTATATAATATATGATAATTATTATCTCAATCTATAATTAAAAAGTATTTTTAACAACTATTGAAGAACGTGAAGGTTTTGTTTGCCTTTAAATTGAGCTTGGTACATATGATGCCAGTGAATATAAATGGCATACAAGCATAGATTCCGTGCGCATTGAATACTACATGAATCTCAAAGTCAATGATATTTCTTGAAATATTAGTACAAGACATACAATTGTGGCCAACAATAGCCACAGTATAGCTATATATTATCGGATAATACAAACAATACGAGTTTTATTGATAGTAACGACTATTCAATTGTAGATTTCATCCACATAAAATCTTAATTTTAAAAATATTAAATCAAAGTTTATAAAACTCCAAACAAGTTATAAAAACTTTGTAAGTTATAAAATGTGGAATAATTTGTTATAATAAACGCAAACCAGATGTCGGTATTGAGTGAATAAATGCATGTTTTCATGTTTTCAATGTTTGTTTTCTTTCGTTTCAAACTTTGAAATTCAAACCAAATTTAATGTAAATCTTAAATGAATTTAATTAGAAATAAACTAATTGTTTGTTTAAAACATGTGATAAGAGATAGTTGTGTGAAGTCGTGGACGCGATTGTGCGGCACATCCAGTGATGGCAGGGATGGGAGGGATAGCAGGGATGCGATGGACAGACAGTTTGAAAACATAAGTTTGCATTCATTCACACATTTAGTGGTCAGCGAAGAGACGAAAGAGAAAATTGAGTTAATTTTAAGCGAATATGAATACGAAAAGTACACAACACTTCGAGTGCCCGTTACTATCACATCCCAAACCATGGCTGAACTGATCCGTATGGATGACCCGCAAGAGAGACAACAAATGTATCGCTTCTTATACACCAAAGAAATGCAACGAACGAAGAGTCAGACGAAGAGGAAAGAGATTTCCAACAGATATTGGGAACAGAGAAATGAGATGTACTCTCGGATTGACGCCCAGAGGACAGGCATTTGGGACAACAATAACGAGTTGTTGTATGGCTTATGGCATAACACACTCGTCAGCAAAATCATGAAGTCATCGGTTTCTCGTCTATACAACCATCGACTCAGAAGAGCCGCACTTTTCGGCCAAAAAGTGGTCATTGATTTGGATTTCGAGAAATACATGAAATTATACGAAACGAGACTATTGTTGAAACAGTTGTCGCAAACCTATCACTACAACAAATACAAGACTACAGAACCGTTTGATTTGCATTTCACTAATTGTGACCCAAACTCGCGGACAATGCAAGAGATGTCACGCTTTTTGCCCAACTATACGACGCCTCACTTTATGGCCACTTTTCATCGACAGTCGTATTTGGATGTCTTTCCCAAAGAGAGATTAGTATATCTGAGTCCACACTCTAATCATGTGTTGCGAAAGTATAGCGACGACGATATCTATATAATCGGCGGTTTGATTGATAAGAATCGCAACGAACCGATCACTTACACCAACGCTCACAAACAGGGCATCCGATCCGCACGACTCCCACTCGACGAGAATATTCTGTGGAAAATGGGCTCAAAGTCTTTATGTGTCAATCATATGGTAGCCATTCTTCACGACATCAAAACGACCGGCGATTGGAGGCAAACACTGAGGAATAATATACCGCAGAGGAAGCAGAAGAGTATCACCGAAATTGAATTCGAAGACTCGTTAAGAAAACAGAAACACAATCGTTATATGAGAAGCAAAGCCAATCAATGACAACAAACCATTGATAATTCAATAAATCTTTATTCAATGCTTAAAACAAGAATAAATTCACTGAATATTGAATGAATGAGCGTTTGTTTGGAGTATTCAATAATAAAACATTATATAAACATTTTTTGGATTAATTATTTTTATTACTGATTGAACTAAATATTGAATAGATTTGAATTCTTGAATCCCTTTCACTGATAAACTATAGATTTTGTATTCAAACAAAACAAATAACTCTTTGATGTAGTTTTCAGTAAACTTTGTTTACATTCAAAGGAATATTGAGACCAATACGTGATGTTATACTCATTGATCTCACGATAAATACTATTCAATGAATGCATTATTTTCCTGATGTAAACTAAATTAAGTGTTTTGTCAATCAATTCGTGTTTATAGATTTGCATTCAATTTATAATTAATATATAAACATATCTTAATATTGAACCAAAAGTGACACAATTTGAGATAAACTATAAAAAGACAGAATTGAAAGTAAAATACTTTGTGGTATACCGTAAATACGTGATGCATAATTACTAGAATACCCTTGCTCATTATTTAGATTTCATTATATTTTGAATATTTAAGGGTTAAATATAAAGTGCAAACACATTTCAATTGGTATTTATAATCAATTTATTTTGCATTAAATAAAAATAAATAAACTTATAATTTGGTCGATGTTTCGTTAGAGTGGATGCCCTCGTCGTGGAGTCTCATAAGCATCGGGTGATATATTTCGGAAGTCATGGGCGCTATCACTCCCTTCGTCTGTATTTCGCCGTTCAATACCATATTGGCTGCGATTCCCGCCGGAAGTCCTACTGTCTTAGCCATCGCTGAATACCCGTTGGGGTCGCCATAGACTACGAAATTAATGTGTTTCTCTTCCTGTTTTCCGTCCGGCCATTCAATACCGATATTGTGTCTCATTATTATGATATCCCTCTCGTTCTGACTGTACGACAGTTTGTTGGCCAAGAAGTGTGTGATTGTATCGATGGGTGTGTTTAGTTTGGCGATCGGTTCCTCCGCCAAAAGGCCCAACTTCTCGATGGCGTCCACTCTGTTCTCGTTTCCCACTCTCTCGAAGAGCAGATTCTTGAGGTTTGAGAGAAGCATATCGTCCTGATGTCCCAATTGAAGTGTCATAAACTGTTTCCACGTTATCTCCGGTCCCTTAGGATGCAGTGATGAATGAGGCTCTAAGTCCAACAAATTCATCATGTGCAACCCTTTCATCACATCACAAAATCCTTTGTATCTGTTTTTCATAAATTATAACCATTTATTCAAATGTTATTAATATTTCATACTTTAAACTAATTTTATAAATATAGTATGAATTAAGTAAACAAATAATATTATTTTAATTTTGAACATTTGAATGAAAAAATCACCTCAAAGTTCCTCGAAGTACTGTCTTTGCGGATGATATGCCGTATATATCCCTATATTGAGTGGAGTCTCTGTTGGGATAGCCTTCGAGATTATATCCGTGCAAAAAGTCAATATCAGTGGTGTTGTCCATAAGCGCACCGCCGGCCGGTATTTCCATTACTTCATTGTTTTGTATCCATTTCGCTGCCGCAACACTATTCAGGATAACTCCTTTCGGATTCCAACTAAACTTATACCGCAATGGATTGTCCGCATTCTCGGGCACTGGTATTCCTCCGCAATACGAGACGAATGAAGTAATTTTGCCGCCATTGGAGTGAACATGGTCAAAGGTGAGGTACCGGTTGTCCACTAGATACGGGCCTAGCTCTGGGTGAAGCAACTGTTATCACTACGGCCGCAGCTAGCGGCGGACTAAATCAAGAGAGTAAACGCCACAGCATATTGACCGCCATTGGTTATTTGTCTTAAAGCGGATACACTTCTCCGCTATCTTCGGGTGCAATGCGTACGGAAGAAGACTCACCACTAGATCTGACTCTTCGATCGCTTTATCCAAGTGTTCGCTGTTTTTGGTCACATCGATGACAATGGAGTGAGCGTTGGGTCGATTGGCTCTCCGTACCAGTTCATCGCCCGGTCCTTAAAGTTATGATTGAAAATTTAGTTTTAAAAATACTCAAATTGAATGTGAATTGAATGTGAGTGTACTGTATGTGACAAACCCTGTAAATCTGCGGCAACCGTTACATCAATGTTGGGATTTCGGGTGAGTATCTCGACGAGAGGGGCGGACACATAGCCGGCGCCCAACACTAACACATGTTTGTCGAGCGACGATCTCTTTTTGGTGGACACGACTGACGCCTTCTTTTGTCTCAAATCCATGATATACTCAAAATTGGGAGTAAGGCTACCGTTGCTGGTTATGCACGCGTTCTTCACCACTGGACTGAAGGATGTCCTGTCGAACGGTTCCGTTGCGTCCGAACTCACAATGTCTTCAATGTATGGCTTCAATAGATCACCAAAAGATTGTGTCGCCTCTAATGGCAGTTGAGTCGGCATATTATCTATAGAGCAGACCAGAACCCCCGGACCTAAGCATAAACAAAACAACACAACCAATCATTTGAGTGCATTTCAATCGTGATTACTGTATCGATGTCTAGAAATTGTTAATAATTGCATAAAAATTCCTATCAATCAAAACGTGTCGATAAAATTATGGGAAAATTTTGAAGTTAAAAATTAAAGACTTCTATTAATTGGGAAAATATTGAAAAAGTTTGCGATAAGAATGCATTAAAGTTAGAGATAATGAGAGTGAAGGAAAGGCCAGACCTGCGAAGTCAGTGCTGTGTTTATTATAGTCGGCGTCGTATAAACAAAACGGATTATCAATTGTTGTGCATTCAGTCATGAATTCAACAGAACCGCCCGGATCTGCACTGATGTCACAAATAGCTATCAATCGGTGCGGCAGTGCTGGCGATCCCACAGATATGGGCAGCCATGGCGTGTATTGGGGCTGAAGTAGACGCTTGGCGTCCGGTATTGTCATTAGTTTGGGAGAGTTTGGCGACCAATAGATGCCGTTTATAATGACCGAAGCGTGAGGTGCGATATGTGTGGCGAAGTTTGAGTAATACCTCTCCGGGTGTTGGTCTGCCTCTACGGGATCAAAGGCGCCGCCGTCTTTGCGGACCCAGTGGTCGGCGCGGGTGACCACAGAAGGCATGTGAAATCAACAAACTGGGTTAACACGGTGAAAAGGGTTTAGGAACTGCAGGTGCATAAGTATGCCGTTGAGAACCTTATAAAGGACTATTCTATTAGTTTTACTCTTACCATTAGGTCACTTGGTACATATTTATACATGGAAATACATACCTGCGCTCCTTGCGATACATTGCCTGTAAAGCATCAAACATTAAATTAATTTAAAATAATCACATGAAATGTAATATGGATCGCATACCAGAGCCCGTGAATATGAAAGTGAGCGGACCGATAGAGCGGGGCATCATTGCCAACGCTATCTCATAACCGGTGTCCCGAATGGCCTGCTTAGCCATTCCGCTGTTGCGGTAGTTGTGTGCGGGTCCGATATGCATGAACGGCGTGTGATGGCCCAGTGCTAACAGTCTGAGTCCCAATCCGTGCATTATATCAATCATTCCCGCGATTCCCGCGAATCGCCCGAAAGCCACCACTCGTTGAGAGTTGTCAACCATTTTCTCGTAATCGATAAGTCTGTTCGCAATTCACTTCATTAGCGATAAATTGTATATAAATTTAAACAAAACTACCGAATATTTCTGTCGAGAATGGCGTCGAGAAGAGACATATTTGCCTCTTGAGCTTTGATAGTGTGCGAGAAAAAGGCATACGTCTTGTTAGGCAGTAATGAATCGATTGGCACTTGTTTTACACCGATAATGACCGGCGCTTCGTTAATGTCCTCTTGTATGACAGCTCCCGCCTGAACATAGGCTTGCAGTGGATATGCTCTCCTGTTTGATGGCTGTACTATCACTTTCACTCCTTTCTTAACCAGTTGTCTGACGTGAAGGGGTGCCAAAGTATGTCCTCTTGTATGACAGCTCCCGCCTGAACATAGGCTTGCAGTGGATATGCTCTCCTGTTTGATGGCTGTACTATTACTTTCACTCCTTTCTTAACCAGTTGTCTGACGTGAAGGGGTGCCAAAGGGGCCCTCCTTTCCCATACCGATGCATCTTCACGTCTGATGGCTATTATTAATAATTATATATTTTTGATTTGAAACAGTAGACGTAAAATATATAATTTTATACAAAAATCAGTCAAAATACCTAATATTTTTTGGTTTGGCGATGAGATGGGATGAACGGAACCCAATGAAGATCGGGATCTCTTACTGTCATATGTCTTAAGCCTTAAGAGATCCCTTCGCACACAATATGAAAGGAGTTTTGTGTTAAAAAGTTTTCGATTTTCAAACAGTTTCCCATTTTTTATAAGTTGAAAATACATTATATTTTTTGTTGATTTACATTTGATTTGATAACATGATCCCTTCGCACACAATATGAAAGGAGTTTTGTGTTAAAAAGTTTTCGATTTTCAAACAGTTTCCCATTTTTTATAAGTTGAAAATACATTATATTTTTTGTTGATTTACATTTGATTTGATAACAATTTGGTATAAAACTAAGTTAATCTTAAATTAACTTTATTTTGCCATTAATATTATATAATATTAATTAATATTAATAATATATATTATTTTCTTAAATTATTTAATGAAATACTGAAAACAAATAACAAATTCTTAATGAGAATTGAATTTGAAAAATGATAGTCAAAAAATTCTTTCTTAATCTTAAGTTTAAAAAATTTCGCAATTAATTAAAATTCACAAAATTTTCCACTCTTTGACTGAATTGAATAACTAGTTCTTCGACATTGAGACGGGTTATGGTTTCGACAAAACTTATAAATTGCTTATGAATTCAGGAATGAAGTAATCAAAGAGTAGATATCATTAATGGTGTTCAATGAGTGAAGATCTCAAACACAATATGCAATGAATTCTGTTGTGTAAACGCAATACAATATATAATATATAATTTTGTATAAGAATATAATTTTGACACTTGTTTTCAACGACTATAAGTCACATAAAGATTAAATATTTCCAAATGTGTTCACATCTATTGGGAAACTCAAGCCTTGGATTCCTAATCGCTTTGAAATCAGAAAATGTTATTTTTAACGAAAGCCAAGGATTTTAGTCGTGGTGTGAGTTATCTCTAAGGGTCTGCCTTAAGAGACAGACATTACTCCAGGTATTGATTAGATGTTGTCATCTATTTTGTGGAACCAATTCTTCCAACACTTCCTTCTATTCCTTGGGTCCTCTCTTATCGACGATTGCTTTTAGGTTAGGAATGAAGTCAAGTAAA